TCTTTGAAAATGGAGACAATGAAATCTTATTTCCATCTATAGTAGATATGAAGATTCAAAGCAAAGGTATCTGGTGCTCAGTTCAATAAATAAGTGCTCCATACAAGCCCGGAGAGGCACAGTTATAGATTATACATAAAGGACAAACCTGTACCCACAAGGAATACACGTGGGAAACTAACTTCTTATGGAAAAGAAGATTCAGTTGAATGCAATGACTTGCAAGATTCACGACTTGCCTCTTAAATGGGCTTTGCCACCACCCACCTGTCAATTTGTCACGCTGTAGTGGCTCGCATGTGGCTACAATGCTGGAAGCTATGCCACTAGTATTTCAAATACAAGCAGGGTCACTCCCTGTGGACAAAGTTCTTTTTGATTGTTTTAAGAAAGGCCATATGTAACACATCATTTGGATATGTCTGGAGTTTTGAAAGGTGGCAAAAGACATGGTGGCATAGTGGGTAATGAATTGGGTTGATAACTAGCAGGTCAATAATTCAAAAACACCCGCTGCTATGCAGGACAAAGATGAGGCTTTCAATTCCCATAAAGGTTTTTGGTCCTGGAAACCCATAGGGGTGGTTCTACCCAGTCCTATAGGATCGCTGTAAGTTGGATTTGGTCCAATAGCATTGAGTTTGGTTTCTGGTTTGGAGTCTCAGAAGCTTGATTGCTCTGTGCTCTCTGTGATCGTTTTGTTGTATGTCAACTTGAGTGGACAGGATTCTGCTACGAAATGATCTAACATAATGTGGTCAACTAGGTGTTGGGATCTTTTGCGAAGCAGCCAAACAGTTGAGGGGAGGATAGACCTCCTAAGTTTGCCACAGCCTTGATACAGCTGAGAAAGGTACAATTCAAGATGTGGTCTACTCTTGGTGTAAACTCATGGTGCATGGAAGCTAGTTCCCTCCTACTGCTGGATTTGGATCTTGGATCTGGTTTGTCAACTTCCTCTTGTATCACCCACTGATCTCAGGACCCATCAGCAGACTGGTGTCCTTGGATTCATTTGGCCTAACTTGGATTGATTCAACTCAGTAGCCACCAGCCTGTGTTCTTCCTGATTAATTCTTCTGCTTCCTGTTCATCAACCCCTGCAGCTAGAGGAGTGAAGAAAAGACTTCAGCTGACATCTGAACCATGAATTAGATCAGACTGGATTTATCCACTTCTACAACTGCGGGAGCCATTTCTTGATATAAAACCCCTCTCTATATACATGTAAGTGTCACTGGATTCGTTTCCCTGGGCAACCCTTCTACAAATGACCTTCAGAACATTTTGGAGGTTCTAGTAACAGGGCACAGGCTACTCATACACTCTTGACTGAAGGACAGTCCTTAATCAGGAAAGGTGGCCATTTCCAATAAATACGCAGCTTCAGGGGGAACACACATGGAGCTGTGAGGAAGGAATTGGCTATCCATTGAGCCAACCAACCAGATAAGTTAAATCAGCCCTGGTGATCAATGGGTGGCAGATGTTAAAACCAGATCACCTCACATCCCCACGATAGACAGATTTCAGAGGATAAGAAGACTTATTCAATGGATTTGTTTCCAATGAAAACCCAACGGATCCCAACAGAATACCGTCAATATATTACTGGAAGAAGAGCCCCCCCAAGCCAAGTGGGAAGACAGTCAGTATACACAATGGCCTCAACCATGAACTAGCCTCTAGTCATTAGAACACACTGGTCACCCTGAAGATGGTGTAGGATCAGGCAATGCGTCCTTCTGTTGTATGTAGGGTCATCATGAATAAGCAACAATGCAACAGCAATGAACAACAACAGGCCTTTAGAAAGGTCAGAGTCTCAGTTCTGGAAATGAAATGCTCCAGAGCAAAGGGAGCTACCGTCCTGGATGGGGAGCTAGTCACCAGGGGTGCTTTGCAGTTCCTTCTGGTTTTGAGGGTTGCTGCCTCACTGACAAATAACTACAGAGAACATGAAAGGGTTTTTTAAAGTTTTTAGAGAAATTCTATAAACTTTTAATTCCATTCTTCCACATTGAACCTTTTGAAGGTCTCTTGTCATCCTCTAGTTGCTACTAGTCAACTGGGCACTACCTCAAACTCACCTGCAGCCCTTGGACTTGAGGCTGAAACTCCGTAGGGTGAGGCAAAGCAGATGACTGCTATCCGAATGGTATAGAACTGGCAGTCTTTGAACTTTGGTTGGGATCTCTTGCCTTGAGGGTGCCCAAGGAATGGTGGGCTGGAACAGCCATAGACTTATTATTCTAATGCTCTCTTTGGTTTATTATGACATATATTAATCTGGTAGAAGTGGTTCCACCACTTTCAATGAAATTACTGCAAGTCTTGCCCTATCGCCAACACCCATTGTTTGTGCAGTCACTCGAGAGTTTAATCTGTGCTAGTCAACAAATCATGTATTGTGGCTCATAGCTGACCTATACTTGTATAATCCCATTTTCTCAACTGTGCTTTAAATTCTATACCATTGGCTAAACTAATGACACTGTCAACAGAATTACCTTATGTCACAGGAAGCTGATTGATACAGTTCTTTAACATAAAGGTGTCTCTAAGGTGAGCCATATACATATGTAAACCATGGATATATGTATGGATTTGGGGCTCACACTTAAATCTAACCCCAATCTAAGAACAATTCGTTCTTATCACATGACCCTGATTGACGCTTACCCTTATGGAGAGATCACACCATATATGGGTGCCATACCAATGTGTGGTGAAGAAATTAGATGGTGCCCTGCTACCAGAAAGAATAATGTCTGTAGTCCTAAAGGCTTGTCTTCAACCAAACAGCCATCTAAGTGAGGCATCAACTAAGTCCACATGGAAGAAGCACGGCAGCCTGTGTGATCCAAGCATTGTGAATAATATAATCTCAATCTGAATAGGAAATGATATCAGAGCATAAATTGTGAATGTCTTGTTTGCAAAAGGGTATGGATGACAGTGGAAGCCCTGGATTTGCAGGGTCCACACAGAGACTAAGCTTCTAATGAATCCAATGAACAAGGAATGTGAATTGCCTTGTTAGCAGATACGGAGCTTTGTAAAGTCTTTTATGGTACATATAGTTAGGTTAAAAAATGTAATATCTTATTTGATCTCCCTTTAAGAGTTATTTCAATTTTTAAAAAAAGTCTAGAGGAAATTCATGTGGATTGAGCCTCCAGTGAATCTTCTCTGACCATGGACAGGGTGTGAATAGCCTTGCAATCATGCAGAGTGCACTGGAAAGTTGGCACAGTTAGGCTAAAAATCTAACACCGAATCATTTGAGCTCCCTTTGGACTCATTTAAAATTTGTTCCGGTTTTTAATATTTTCTACTTTATGGTGTGGTTTTTCCGTATTTTGTTGTTAGTTTTTTCTGCTTGTTTTGTTTTTGTATGCTTTCCTGCATAGCAAATCCGGGATCGGTAAATCTATAGAGACAGTAAGTGGAATAATTGTTTCTTGCAGGTATGGCAGGGAATGTTGGGGGGAGATGGGGACCTAGTAACATTGAACATAAGAAAGAAGAAAATGATCTAAAATTGATCGTGGTAATGATTGTACAACTTTTCTTGATATCATTAAACCTTCGAATTGTATGATATGTGGATTAAATGCCAATGCAACTGGTTTTTAAGAGAATAAAACTTTGTAGAGAAATTCCATCATCTTTCAATTCCATTCTTCCCCCTTGCACTTTTTGAAGGCCCCTTCTAGACCTCCAGTTGCTATGACTAGGTAACTTCTAGCCCGTCGTCTCTGAATAATATTTCCCCTTTCTTTCTCTCTGCTTCTTTGAACTATGGGGTACACCTTCCGAAAAGCCCCTGGGCACACTCTGAAAAGGTTGCTCTGTGGGCTCAACGTATCACAGCTAAAGAAAACGTTTTTCAGATTTGCTCTTACAGTTCTGACTGTGCTGTACATTGAGTTCTAAGGGTGAAATACTCGCACGGGTTCTTACACGCGATCAGAAAGGGGGGCTTCGTGGTGGACGTTTCCCTTTTCAAGCACACCTTCCGGTTTTACAAAGGAATAGAGGCTTCCTCTGGGAGGAAATGCATTTGCAGCTCTCTGTATTAGGAGCTGAACAAACATGAGATCCGGTAAGCTGCCTCAACTCAGCTTTCTCAAATGAATGAGATCCCATTCAAACAGGTCTCCCTTCGAGGGTGGGGATTGGAGAGGGGAGAAACTAGAAAGCTTGAATCAGGAATATCCAAGCCAGTTTAACGACTTAAAAACAAACGGAGGAAGCTTTGATCTAGCCCATATATGGAGGCACGGATACCGTAGTCATGTCAACTGGCACACCATTCCTGAAGCCTGGCATCTGCCATGAACCAGGCATGACCAGTAGGAACCACTTCAGGTTAGACTATCTTGTGATTTTCCCCCCCATGTCTATATCTTCTCTCACCGGAAGGTCTAGGACTGCTGTATCTCGTCAACCCTTGTGCCCAGACACTGGACCCACTCCAGAGGAGACACTGAGCACACGAATGGCCAGTTGTAGAGGGGTTCATGCAGCTCCTTGTCTTCAGGCAAGGAGTCTACCCATTAGTATTTATACTTGCTAGGCACTTTCAATACAGTAAGTCATTTAATTCTACAACAACGCAATGAGGTAGGCATGATTGTCATCATCCTCATTTTACAGACTGCGAAACAAGATGCTTACCACTGCTGTTAAGTCCCGCTAGAAGTGGCAGGCCATGGACCAAGGTCATGTGGTCCCAGAGGCCCTGCATTCAATGGCCACGCCATGCTGCCTTCTGAAGAAGGGAGGCCTGTTCTGTTCTTGGAAGAATCTAGGGATGCAGACGGTTCTGTTTCAGATGCCATCATCCCCATGCATTGATCTGCCTGGATCCGGGACAGAGAGAGGTGCCGTGCAGAGGCAGCAGGGGAACGGCAGAGGAGCAGTGGGCCTGAGCTCACCAAGTTAGAAGCGGTGTGGATTTGGGAGTTACTTGGTCTTCTTCTCTTCTCTTGCAGATGGCTACGAGTTCCTGGAAATCCTGAAACAGGTTGCCCGGGACAATACCGACAACCCAGACCTGAGCATCGTGTGGATTGACCCGGATGACTTTCCTCTGGTGAGATGCTTGGGCCAGGGCTTCGTCCTTGGTCCGCCGCACAGGCCTGCATGGGTGTTTAGTGTGCTTGTATTGGATGTTAGTGTTCCTTTCGGCTTTCTGAGTGATTTTGTATGGTTTTGGTTGGTTATTATTTTGGTCTGGGAGCCAGCACACCTTTTTTCTATGTAAATCCATGGCCACCGTTTCGTCGCTTTGTGCCATTGTCCTGTATGAAAGGCTTCAGAGGGACAGTTTCTTTCGGACAGTGGGGGAAGCCGTACCCTTGACATCTGGAACCGAAGCAGGCATGCCACAGGCATTGTTGCCCTCCACCTTCACAACCACCCTATGAAGTAGGGGCTATAGTAACCTTCACCTTGTAGACGAAGAAGATCTTGTCTAAAATGATGACGCCCTGGTGGTGATATTCTAACCTCGCTCTGGATGATGCCAAAGCTTCGTCAGCTGCCTGCTTTAGGGAAAAGTTAGCAGCTGGTGATGAGTACAGGTTTGTTCCCATTAGGTTATACATGACAACTTTATCCTCACTCCGAATGATCATTGGTTGCTTTCATTTCGGCGGTTCATACTAGAATGGAGGGGGGTGGGTGGGCGAGTGATCCCATTGTGGTTGCTTCCTTGGAGTCCCTGGGAGGTACAAATGGTCAACCAGAAGATCGGCAGTTCAAGTTCACCCAGAAGGGCCACCTCGGTACTCCCCCCAAATCCGTCATTGAACACCCTGCGGAGCACAGCTTGACTCTGACACACAGGGGCTCCTTGAGCTGCAATCCATTTGACAGCAACTGGTAAGGGATGTCAGGGACCAGGACACTCCGTCCTCGGTAGAGGATGGTGGATCAAAGGCAGGTCCTTCTGTGACCCCGGAGGCCACTCTTCTCATTCGGGCTCATCCTAACAAGGCCGTGGCCATAAAGCCACCTGGAGGACAGTTCTGCTTGCTTGTATGGCAAGTTTCACTGACCTATGGTAGGCAAGCTTGCAAATGATCTGCAGTTTTCCAACTCTGGTTCGCCTTAGTTTCACAAGGACCACGCTTCAGAATGCTCTGATTCACATATTCCGGAATGTACCATCAGTGGGTCTATGTCCTTAGGAGACATTCTACCACTTAAGATCTCTGTCCTCTGAATCCTGGGGGCCCTTGCTCCTTTAGTCTGGCTCCAGTGAGCATTCTGAGCCCTCTTTGAACTTACTCATGTGCCAATTTATGGCACAAAGTTGCTTGCCCTGCAATCTCGTGCAGCAAGGTGGTGCAAAGTAAAGAATTTTGAACAGGGCATTTTAAAAGAGGCTGAGGAAAATGTCTCCTTGGCCATCCATAGACTATAAGAGAGGCACCAGGAATCTAAGCCACGAAACTTTGGCTGAGCTCTGTGGGGAAGCTTTTGTGTTCCATGTCTTGCTAGTTCGGGTTCCGACGTTTAGCTTGAAGGCTTGTTCAAAGTGCTCAAGGGTTGGGCTCAAGCCGTCAGTTTGCTAAGAGCCTGTCGTGACTTGGCAACCCTGTAACCCAGGAGGACCTCGTGTCTGTGATGCGATGGCAGGTGAATGATGGGAGGGCAAGTAGTGTTCTCAGCTTGTCGTCTAACCTTCGTCTTTGTCGCTGCAGCTCGTTGCCTATTGGGAAAAGACTTTCAAGATTGACCTGTTCAAGCCCCAGATTGGGGTGGTGAATGTGACAGACGTGAGTATGCCCTGTGGGAGTTGCACTGGCCCCCTCAGCTGGCCCTGCTGCCTGCCACATAGCTCACTGTGAGAGTGTGCAGGAGAGTCAGGTCTCTAGGACACCAACAGGATGCTGGGCCCTGCTGGAGTGGAGGAAACTTGCCAGTGAGACCCGGGTCTGGTCTCTCTCTCTACCAGTCCCCCATGGGTTCACTGCCTCTCTCCTATGCGTACCATTCCTGCCTTACTCAGCCTGCCCAGCCCGACTCATCATTTGGAACTTTCTACTGAAACAAATATTCTGGGAGCTGCCATTGCACTGGGTACTGGGATCAGTTGGGGTGCACTGAGCCCCACTCACACACCCATCACAGTCCAAAAGTCAGCTGGGAGAGCAGCCCCTACCCCACGCCCTGAAGGGAGGAAGAGCATTATGTGAGAGTCAGAATAGGGTCATTTCCCCCACTGTCCAGGCACCATTGAACAGAGTGTGGAAGGGGCTAGAGCAGTAGACTGGCAGAGGGAGCGGAATTGTAGGCGTCAGCCCCCACTGTTGATCCAGCTCCATGGTAACCAGACAGGAGCACGGCAGATACAGGCAGACAAAGGGTGGATAGCAAATGATGGGACAGAGAGTCCCCAGAGTCGTCATCGCTTGTGAATGGAGGCCAGTTGCTATCATCATTCCTTTGCCCTCTTTATTTGGTCACCTTAAGGACTCTCCATTTATTTTTTTAAACTTTCAATGAATAAGAAATAATAACAACAAGACAATGTGCTCAAGAGAAAACATTTTAGAACCATAGGCTATAAGATGAAAAGAAAAATGATTTCCTACTATCCTGACCCC